TCACAATTTATTAAAGAGGCTATCTTTCCTCCAGTGAGGGTGTTTGGCTCCTTTATCAAAGATGAAATGGCTGAGTGTGTCTGGAGTTGGTTCTGCATCTTCTAATCTATTCCACTGATCCTCGGGTCTGTTTCTTTGCCAGCACCATACTGTTTTTATCACAGTAGCTTTGTAGTATAGTTTCAAGTTGGGGATTGTGATACCCCCTACCTTTTCTTTGTTGCCTGAATTGCTATTGCTATTTTAGGTCTCTTCTTGTTCCAAATGAATTTTTGGATAGTTTTTGCAAGTTCTATGAAGTATACTATTGGAATTTCAATTGGGATTTCATTGAATCTATGTAGCAGTTTTGGAAGTATGGCCATTTTCACTATATTGGTTCTTCCTACCCAGGAGCAAGGGATGTCTTTCCATTTTCTGATATCTTCCCTGTCTTTTTTCAGACTGCAATATTTTTCAGAGTAGAGGTCTTTGATTTTTTTGTTAGGTTGATTCCTAGGTATTTCATTTTTTTGGATGTTATTGTGAAGGGAGTTGTTTCTCTAGTTCCTCTTCCAGTGAGTCTGTTGTTCCTGTACAGGAAAGCTATTGATTTTTGCTTCTTGACCTTGTATCCGCTTACACTACTGAATTTGGTTATTAAGTCTAGAAGACTTTTGGTGGGGTTTTTGGGGTCTTCTATATAGAGTATCATGTTGTCTGCAAATAATGACAATTTAACTTCTTCATTTCCTATCTATATTCCTTTTATTTCTTTCTCTTGTCTAATTTTGTTGAATAATATTGGATTGTTTAGAATGTTTCAGTCTTCTTTATTCAGCTTTGATGATTCATACATATCTAGGAATCTGTCCATTTCTTCTGTGTTTTCCATCTTATTGGCATATAGTTTCTCAAAGTAGATATTGATGATCCTCTGGATTTCTGCTGGGTCTGTTTTAATTTCACCCTTTTCATTCCTAATTGCATGGGTTTGTGTCTCTTCTTTCCTTTTCTTAACAAGGTTGGTATGGATTTGTCAATTTTGTTTATTCTTTCAAAGAATCAACTCTTTGTTGATTTTTTGTATCATTCTTAGTCTCCATTGCATTGATTTCTGCTCTGATCTTTATAATTTCCTCCCTTGTATGAGCTTTGGGTTTATCCTGCTCTTCTTTTTCTAGAAGCTTGAGGTTTAGCATCAGATTATTTATTTGAGCTCACTCAGTTTTCCTAATATGAGTATTCGTTTCTATGAATTTCCCTCGTAAGACTGCTTTCATTGTGTCCCATAGATTCTGATATGTAGTACTGGCACTGTCACTTAATTGTAGAAACTGTCTAATTTCTTCTTTAATTTCCTCTGTGACCCATTGGTTGTTCAGGAGAGAGTTATTCAACTTCCATGTGTTTGTGAAGTTCTTGCAATTTCTTATGATCTCCAGTTTAATTGCACTATGGTCTAATAATATACAGGGGATAGCTTCACTACCTTTGCACTTACTTAAACATGTTGTATGAGTGAGTACGTGGTCTATTTTGGAGAATGACCCATGTGCAGCCAAAAAGAATGTGTATTCTGATTTTGTGAGGTGTAACATTCTGTAACATCTGTTTAGTTCATTTGTTCAAGAGTTTGATTGAGCTGTAATGTTTTGTTGTTTATTTTTTGTCTAGTTGATCTATTTGCGACAGTAGGGTATTGAGGTCCCCCACTACAATTGTATTTAGTATTTATTTGATTTTTCATGTCTATTAGTATTTGTTTTATATAATTGGGCGCACTAGTGTTTGGTGCATGTATATTTATGATTGTCATCTCTTCCTCTTGGATTTTTCCTTTGCAAGGATGTAGTGTCCTTCTTGGTCCCTCTTAATCAGTGTTGCAAAGAGGATAGCTACTCCTGCTTTTTTTCCAGTTCCTGTCATGTGGGATATTGTTTTCTACCCTTTAACGTTCAACCTATGAATTTCTTTTTGAATTAATTGTGTCTCTTGTATGCAGCATATTGTTGGATCTTGCTTCTTGACCCATTCTGCCAGTCTATTTCTTTTGAATGGTGAATTGAGACCACTAGCATTGATGGTTGTAACTGATATGCATTGAGTTATCCTTGTCATGACCTTTTCTTGTTGTTGGATTCTCCCCCTTTGTATTTAATTTCTTGTCATGCCCAGTGGATTCATTCTGCTAGGCTTCCTGGGGTTGTGATCCTCATTGTCTTTTCCTAGGGTATTGTCTAAAGTTTTTTGGAGTGCTGGTTTGATATTCATGAAGTTCCTAAGGTGCTCTTTGTCATGAAATTATCTTATTTCTCCATCAATTTTGAAAGATAGTTTTGCAGGGTACATCATTCTGGGTTGGAGGCTCTTTTCCTTTCAGGCTCGAAATACATCACTCCAGGCTCTTCTTGCCTCGAGAGTTTGTGTTGAAAAGCTTGCTGTGATTCTGATGGGCTTTCCTTTGTATGTGATTTGTTTCTTTTCTGTAACTGCTTGTAGAATTTTGTTCTTCTGTTGAGTTTTTGGAATCTTTAACTATTATAGGCCTAGGTGTAGATTTTTTGATCATGGCCAGTTGGAGTCCTATATGCCTCACTTATCTGTATGTCAAGTTCTTTCCCCCTGCTTGGGAAGTTTTTTTCCATTACTTCTGTGAGCGGTGTTTTATGTCTTCTGCACTCTCTCCTGTTTCTTCATTGACTCTGATCAGTCTTATGTTATTCTTCTTTGCATCTTCTAGCAGCTGCTGGATTGATTTCTCGTGGTCCCTTACTATTTTTAAGAAACTTTTCTGTTCCTGGTCACTAATTGCAATCTTATCTTCTATATCTGAAATTCTGTCCTGACATTGGCTCATTTTACTATGTAAACTTTCAGTGGAGCTTTTAATCTCTG